TACTGAGATATTTCCTTACTAGAATCAGATAAGACTGGAACTTCACCAGTGTTCTTGCCAATATTTCTACTCTTCTATGTAGCAAACTTATCAAACACGTCTTTTCCCCAAATCTGGAGCAAACCCTTCTACCCACCCTCAACTTCAGTCTTTTATAATGCTTAGAAGAAGAGGTCATTCATTAACCATGATCTGTGGGACCAACCACACCTACCCTCTTCGCCAATCTCAAAATAAAAGTGTCATTCCTATTCCAAATTAATCCCATTTATGTTTAGTGACCTACCTACTAAATGTTATGTTTCATGGTTCAATCCTTGTTTTATTTCCCTTCATATGAGACTACTTCTTCCTACCATTTCTCATTCACTCATAGTTTAAATTGTCATTCTAAAACTAGGAAAATAGGGGCAGGGGTTGTGGTTCAGTGGCAGAGCGCTTGCCTTGCATATATGTGAGACACTGGGTTCGATCTTCAGCACCACATAATAATAAATAAACAAAGATATTGTGTTCATGTATAACTAAAAAAAATTTTTTAAATAAATTAATAAAACTAGTAAAATAGTTCTGAAGGGAAAACAAACCATGTCTTCCTGCTAAGCACACATATATTTATGAAACTGAATTTACTCCTACATGTATCTGAAATAATCAAAGCAAACATTTTAAAATTTAACAATATATTATTCTGTAATAATCATCAACTTCCCATCCCCAAAATGCTCATTTACCCTTCAAACAGATAATATAATTAAGATCTTACTTATTAACATCTGAGCCAAAGTCTTCAAGAAATTCCACTTTTCTCTGAGAAAATGTAATTCTCATTTTAATAGGTAATGAGCCATGTATAGCTTTGTCAAAACAATTTAAGATATTGTCTTCATTTTGTTTGAGGTCACCACTATATTCCATTTCAAGTAAATTGAGGTATAACTTCGTGTTCTCCTGTGTAAAAAGCAGTATCAATTAACATTTCTAAATTAGAGATTTAAAATTCCTTAAATTTTATGTTTCAATTTAAAAAATTCAGTATTAAACCTGGTTAGCTGTTTTCAGCTTACAACTAAAGAGATAAAAAAAATCTCTAGCATACTGATAGGTAGTGATACCCTACTCAAGTATAAAAACTGTTAAATGTGAATAAATGCTTTCTTGAATTTAATATGGCTTGACCAACAATGACAATTAGAAAACAAAACACAAAGAATTATTTCCATAGCTCCAATAATTTAAATAGTTAAACTATAACCACTGATTTTTCCCCCCCTAAACTACAGACAGAAAAGATTTGTTACAAACTTTTATAAGCAGTACTGGGGGAATGAATCCAGGGACTCACACTCTTGGCAAGCACTGAGCTACACCCCCAGTTCTAATGTTTTTTTGTTTTGAGACAGGGTCTGCCTTAAATTGCCCAGGCAGATCTCAAACTTGTTATTCTCCTGCCTCAGCCTTCTGAGGAGCTGGGATTATAGGTGTGTGCCACCATGTCTAGCTTAAACCTGAGTCAAACTCACCTGGCAATAGCTATAAACCTAGAAAATGAAAGTTCCAATATGTTACCAACTATTATATAAAAGGAACTTCTTTGGAAAAGGACAATTATCTCCCTGCTACATTTGCTACTGTAAGGCTTTTGTTTATAAAATGTTCTCCCAACCCCTCTCTTTTACTTAATAATCATGAAATTTTTTGTAAAATTTCTAAAGAGAAAATAGAAGTAGCAGGATGTTGGCAACCCTTTTCAACTCAGTAATCTTTAATTTTCTCACTTTTAATTCAAACAATTTGAAAATAAGTTTAATGGCAACATCAGTTTAGAGGGACTATTGTCCTCATCTTGTAACAAAATATATTACATGCAGACCAAATGTTTCATCATAGTTGCCAAAGTGAAAAACCAACCACTGGTCATTTATGAAGATACTCTAAAGAAAACAAATACATACTTTATCTCTTTCAATTGCTTCAGAAAGCACCTTTCTTGATTTTGGAAGATTTTTTTGTATTTTGAAGAGATGCCGGGCTAGTTTGATAGCATAAAATGATGATTCATTATTCGATTTGGCATTCTTAATAGCATCCTGTAGCAAATGTTCAGCTTCTTCCAAGTTTCCATGCCGTCGTTCTAAACTTACTCTTCGCAATCGAACCATTGCCAATCCTAGAACACACTCTTCAAATGTTCTCAAGATATTCCTGGCTTCATTAATATTACCTAGAAATAACAATTAAATGTTTGTTTTTGTTTAAACTTCTGAAATATTCTTTATGCCAGGTATTGAAAAACATTAGTGCTCAGGCGAAATTGTGCCCCCTGCTTGTTTTGTTTAAAAACAATTAGTAACCAACCATGCTCATTTGTTATACATTGTCTATGGCTGCTTTTGGGTTACAATCGCAAAGCTGAGGTGTTAGACAAGAGACAACATGGCCTGCAAAGCCGAAAATATTTATCTGGCCCTTTATAGAAAAAGTTAGTGAAATTCTTCTTTATATATCCCTCAACACTCAATTCTTATAATTTTATCCTGGAATAACTCAGTCTCAAGAATATCAACTTAATTTCCTTATTCTTACCCTGCTGTTCCTCAAAAGCTGCCCAAAGCATATGCACCATGGGTTTCTTTGGAAGATGAATAGTACAAGCTCTGCTGAAGACATGCCTCACTCCTTCAATGCTATGGTTTTCCATGTACTTGGCATACTACATACAGAAAAAAGGAAATACTGAATAATTTACAGTTGAACAAGCCATTAAATATGTGACAGAACGATAAAATTCTATTTTTAAACCCATTCAGCACCTTTATTGAACCACTAGACTAGTTTCTGTAAGGAAGGACGAAGAGAGGCAACGAGGTTGGCATATGCAGCAGTCAAATCTGGTTGCAAGCAGACCATCTCCTAATGCAACAGATATAGTTATATGAACAACATTCAACAGAAGTACAAAAAAGGTTAGTCACTAGATCAATGTTTATAATATATTCAAGTTTAAGAGCATACAATTTTCTTACCTTAATCCAAAACTCCTCATAGAGGGCACATGATATGACACATCTTTCAAAGAGAACCACAACTCGTTCATGAGTTCCATTTTCTATTTCAAATTCTAAGTATTCTTTCCAGTTTTTTAGTTGAGCCTTTTCCAATGGTTTCACATGAAAATACGGTCGTTTAATCTATAATGACATTATGACATGGCAATAAAAGTAAACTAATACCAACACCAAAATATTTATAAACACATTAGAAATATAAATCATTTAAAATGACAATAAAAAATTTAATCTCATAATTTTTAAAAATTCCTTCAATTCCTCAAAACTGGAGGACTAGAATGCATTTTTCATTTACTCAGTCCTTTTTATGGAACTACAAACACTTTTCAGTATAAGAAATTTTATTCTTTGTTGAATGTTTTTAACTTTTCTTTTTCTCTTTGCAGTGCTGAGAATTGAACCTAAGGTCTAATGCATGCTAAGCAAGTGCTCTACCACTGAACTACATACAGCCTCAGTCCTTTTTAAATTAGTTTTGAAGTAGGGTCTCACTAAACTTTCCTAGACTGGCCTCAAATATATGATCCTCCTGGCTGAGACTTCTGAGTACCTGAGATTACAAATATGTGCTACCAGTAGTGACAAAAAACAGATGATTGGCTATCTAAGCCTAGAAGACACTGCAAAGTGACCAAGAGTTGATAGAATAGTTCTATAGCTTGACTTCTGTGGTGATTACAATTTAGAAATATTTGTCAAAACTCATTTTACAGCCAGCCACAAAAGATCCTATACTATGCAATTCCATTCAAAAGAATGGTCATTATAGGGAAATCAATAGAAATAAACTGTAGACTAGATATCTTAGGGCTGAGGTTGGGGATATTGTAGGTAGGCTGAAGGTAAACTAAAATTTAAGTGGTTTCTTTCTTTTTTTTCTTTATTTGGTACCAGAGATTGAAATCAGGGGCAATCAACCACTGAGGTACACCCCCAGCACTATTTTATTTAGAGATAGGGTCTCAATGAGTTGCTAAGCGCCTCACCATTGCTGCGGCTGACTTTGAACTTGCAATCCTCCTGCCTCAGCCTTCCAAATAGCTGGGATTATAGGTGTGCGCCACTGTACCTGGTTCCAGGTGGATTTTTTTGTTGTTGTTTTGTGGTGCTGGTGATTGAACCCAGGGCCTTGTTCATTCAAGGCAAGCACTCTACCAACTGAGCTGTATCCCTAGCCCGTGATTTCTTTTTGAGGCACTAAGAATATTATAAAATTGACTGTGGTGATTGTCATATCTGTTATACTAAAAACTGTTAAATTACACACTTTAAAGTGGGTGATTTGTATGGCATGTAAATCTTTAAAAAAAAGAACAAAAAAATGAATAAAGTTTATGGAAAATAAAAATTACTATACATCTCTAAATGGGGGCATTTTATTGTACAAATCATACCAATGAAGTTGATTTGAAAAATTATAGTAAAACTGTGCAGATTAATTAGACATACTGCAGTTCAAATCTGAATGCAACAAGATTCTAAAATTGATAATGGCAAATGATTAAAACTGATAATGGGGATTGGGGCTGTAGCTCAGTGGTAGAGCACCTGCCTTGCATGTATGAGACACTGGGTTCAACCCTTAGCACCACATAAAAATAAATAAAGATATTGTGTTCATCTACAACTAAAAATTAAAAAAAACTGATAATGGTAATAATAAATGAGATGCACATCTTATTACTGTAATACACAAAAATAAATAGAAAAAAATAATAGAGTCATTGCCATCAAGTGAAAAATATTATTATTCCCATATGTATTTTGAAGATTATAAAGATTATGAAACAAAACACTTACACCTTCTTCAAATGTCCACCTTTTACTGACTTCATGCTCATTATAATTAAACATTTCTTGATGAATTTCAATGATTCTATGTCTCATGTTTTCTATTTCAGTAATTAACTTGGAAAAAAGAAAAAAAAAATCAAGTTAAAATTTAGTTATGTATTTTAAAAAATCTTCCATATTATACATTTAAGTATTATCCAGATATTTAGTCTAAGAATAGTGGTAGGTTTATAACTATTAGCAATTACTATTTTTAACTCAAATTTATGTACCAAAACTTCTTAATAAAACACTTTCTTACACATTTTCCGGTTTTTCTTTCTTTTTTTTCCTCAGGACTGAGGATTGAACCTAGGGGAACTCAATTGCTGAGCCACATCCTCATCCCTTTTCACTTTTTCAGTCAGGGTCTCACAAAGTTGCCGAGGCTTGCTTTTGAATTTGCCATCCTCCCTGCCTTAGGATTAGTGACCCACTTTAGCCCCCCCCCCCATTTTTTGTACTGGGGATTTAAGCCAGGGGTGTTTTACCAATAAGTTACCCAACCCTTTTTATTTGTTTTTTATTTATGGGGGGAGGGGGGGTGGGCGGGGTCAGGGTAGCAGGGATTGAACTCAGGGGCATTCAACCACTGAGCAACATCCCCAGCCCAATTTAGTATTTTACTTAGAGGGAGGGTCTCACCAAGTTGCTTAGAGTGCCTCGCTTTTGCTGTATTTGGCTTTGAACTCACAATCTTCTTGCCTCAGCCTCCTGAGCCACTGAGATTACAGGCGGGTCTCACTGAGCCCGGCCTGTTTTTAAATTTTGACACATAGTCTCACCAAGTTGCTAAGGACCTCACTAAATTGCTGAGGCTGGCCTCAAACTTGCAATCCTCCTGTTTCAGCCTCCCAAATCCCTAGAATTACAGACATAAATCACAGCACTAAGCTCTTTTCTTTTCAATAAGACTAGTGGATCACAACCTAGGTAAAAAAATCCTTCTCAACTAAGTTATTTCCAGGTATCTCACAGTAAGAAATTCTCTACCTTAAATCTATATTTAAACCATATGAGCTAAATGGACAACTACATAACAAGGGTCTAATTTCTCATGAGCTGAATAAATTTTGATTAAGTGTCATTACCTTTGCTGGATCAGTTATGTCTTCAATTCCTGATGGTAGATCATCACCAGGAGGACCATCATCACCACTATGTCCATTTACAGAAGCTAATTCCCTTCGCAGCTGAATAAACTGCTCACCAGTTAAAAGATCTCTAGGCAAGTTATTCTGTACATGGTCTTTAAATCTAAAGGAAGAGATAAAAAGTTCATGTTATATTTTTGCAACAAAATTTAAATTCCATGTTAGATGCCCACTACGTATTGTTCTTCTAAGTGAAGTCAAACTTAAGAGAAAGAAACCAAAATATAAACCCTCTTCTTCCTTTCTATAGTAAACACCTACCAACTTGATAAAATAGTCTATGGACATCTCCATTTCCTTCCTGCCTTAGCACTGAAATGGAGAAGAAATAGAAACAAATTCAAACTCCAGTTCTGTCAGTTATCTAACTTTAGATTTTTCTCTTCTCTAAACTATGATTACATAGCAAAAAAAAAAAGGAAAAAATTCCTGTTTATATCTAACAAAATCATATGAAACATTTCTAGAGAATATCCAATTATTAGAAATTAATCACCTGAGTAATCAATGATATCAAAGATTTTTCGACCTACCTCTGAAAATGATGACTGTACAGTTGTGTTGGAATACCAAGAATACGATCATATATAGCTGTAACTTCTCTCAGGTTTCCCTGTTCATTTTCCCAGTTTATATACATTTCCCATAGTCTGTCAGATCGGAAATCTGTTCCTGCAGCTAGAACAGCATGCTCAAAAGTTCTGAAAAATTAAATTACTCTTAAGTTATCTTTCCAAAATAAAAATCATTTAAAAAATATTTCTAAATTTAGAAAAAAATGTTAAATTCAAAAAGTTATATTCAATTGCTTCACATGCAAGTAGAGATTAAAAAGCAAGAGGATAATTCAAAGTATATAAGAGTTCTAAAAAAGAGTGAGAAAAAATAAAGCAGAGAGATGTACTTTGTATGTGATTTATCTTATATAAAAATACAATGGAAAATGTTCACCTTGCAAACAACAGTGACACAGAAGATACTTCAAAGTATCTGTTAAACTTGAAATGTCAATTGTATAGGTTCATTTAAGGCAAAAGACAAAATAAAACAAGAATTTAAAAGAGAAGTAAATTTTACTTCAATCTAAAGAATACTGAGATTGAATCCAGGGTCCTGTGCATGGAGGCAAGCACTCTACCAACTGAGTTATGGCCCCAGCACTAAAGAATACTTTTTAAAAATTATTTTAATTAGGTATATATGACAGCAGAATGCATTTTGATTCATTGTACACAACTGTGGCACAACTTTACATTTCCATGGTTGTACACGATGTAGCATTGCATCATACATGCAGTCATAAATGCACCTAGGGTAATGATGTCCATTTCATTCCACCATCTTTCCTACCCCAACACCCCTTCCCATAACTCCCTCCCCTTTGCCCCACTCAAAGTTCTTCCATTTTTCCATGCCCCCCCCCCGCCCATTATGAATTAGCATCCACTTATCACAGAGAACATTCAGCCTTTGGTTTTTTAGGATTGGCTTACTTCACTATATCCCACAGTTTCTTTATCCATTCATCTATTGAAGGGCATCTAGGTTGCACACATATCAGAGTACTAATCTCCAGGATATATAAAGAACTCAAAAAACTGAACACCAAAACAAACAACCCAATCAATAAATGGGCTAAGGAGTTGAAGAGACACTTCTCAGAAGATATACATTCGATTAATAAATATGAAAAAATGTTCAACATCTCTCATAATAAAAGAAATGCAAGTCTAAACTACTCACACCAGTCAGAATGGCAGTTATCAAGAATAGAAACAATAAATGTTGGCGAGGATGTGGGGGAAAAGGCATACTCATTCACTGCTGGTGGGACCGCAAATTAGTGCAATCAATCTGGAAAGCAGTATGGAGATTCCGTAGAAAATTTGGAATGGAACCACCATTTTACCAGCTATCCCACTCCTTGGTCTATACCCAAGAGTTAAAAACAGCATACTACAGGGACACAGCCACATCAATGTTTATAGCAGCACAATTCACAATAGCTAAACTGTGGAACCAACTTAATGAATACTTTTTAACAAAACAACTGTCCAACAAAAGACCCAGCTGCCTCGTGAGGTAATGAGAATTGCACAAATATTGAAACTCTCAAAAGCCCCTCCCAATTCTAAAAATTTAAAATTAAAGTCTAATGCAAAAATGAGTATTTTAAAATATTTAGTTCATTTAAAAAGATTTCTGTAAGCAATTTTAATCACAGAATTTGATATCCTAATGAAATAAAACTTTGAGACATATTTTCAAAATAAGTACCTTAAAATCAAGAGGGAATTTTTCAAAAAGTATAAAACTGCACAATCCCACCCAATCAAAGCACTAATGAATTTTGGGTGGAAGAGAAAATTCTGATATTTGTCTAGTCTTAAAAAAATGCAAAATGTTTTCATAAAAGACAATACAGCAGGCATTTTCCTGAAAGAGAACAAGCTATCTTTTATTATAATTATGGTAATTAAAAAATAGAGCAACAGAAGAGTGCCCAAGAAAACAAAACAGACCACTGTACATATGAGTATTTAGTATATTAAAAAAAGAGGTACTTTAAACCAATGTAGAAAGGCTGAATTATTCAATAAAGAGGAAAAAAATAAAAGGCTAGTACCTTTCTCACAACACCCAGATGAATGAATGACAAAATGTTGTTAAAAAATTAGTATACAATATTCATTCTTGGCAAATTAGGAAAAAAAACTCAGAAACCAATATAAGGCTGAAAACTGAAAACATTAAACAAAAATCTGTATGATAAAAGGCACTCTAAGCAAAAGTGACACATACTAACACTGGAAAAATGTTTAATATATAGAAATATTAAAAGTATGTGTATGTGGATAAAAGAGGGTGTGTAAGGTTTTTAGAAGAATAAAATAGATATTAGTGTCCTTGCAGAAACTCAAAGTGATTCAGAAAATTAATGTATCAAATACTGACAAAAGCATGGAGAAGGAGACGGGAGGATAGTAGGTAATGAAAAAAAGACAGAGGGTTTAGATGCAGGTCTGTTTAAATAATTGGTTAGAAATCTTCACCTCCCTTTTCTGCCTTCCTGGGGGATTCAGAAGTTAGATTTGCGTTCTAAAGGCAGTTCAGATGATCATCTTCTAAAAAACTGCTTGGATCTGGAATAAGACCAATACTGGGACTACCCCCAACAAAAATCTGAGTGGCCACTTGGTCACCCTACTCTGAAGCCTTCTAGGCCAGCTGTCAATGTCCCACACAAAACACACAGACCTTCCATACAGTTTATTATAATCACATCAGAAATCCAGATCAGGAATGAAACCATAATTTGATCCGCTTATCCCTCTCTTTAGTATATACCCAAAGGACTTAAAATTAGCATACTACAGTGACACAGCCACATCGATATTTATAGCAACTCAATTCACAATAGCTAAGCTATGGAACCAACCTAGGTGCCCTTGAACAGATGAATGGATAGATAAAATATGATACATATACTCAATAGAATATTACTCAGCCATAAAGAAGAATGGAATTATGGCATTTGATGGCAAATGGATAGAACTGGAGGCTCACATACTAAGTGAAATAAGCCAATCCCAAAAACCCAAAGGTCAAACATTCTTTCTGACATGCAATGCTAATACAATAAGGGGGAACGGAGGGTCAGGAAGGAAGGAAGAACATAAGTTCATTGGATTAGACAAAGGAGAATGAGGGAAGGGAGGGGAATGGGAATAGGAAAAACAGTAAAATGAATGAGAAATAACTTCTATGTTCATATATGAATACACAACCACTGAAACTCCACATGATGTTCAAGAATGGGATACTAATTAGAACAAGTTATACTCTATGTATATATGTCAAAATATACTCTACTGTCATGTATATCTAAAAACAAATGAAAAAAAAAAAACCCAGAAATCCAAATCAGCCATTTTAGATGACAATAAACACAAGAATTTTAGAGAATACAGTGCTGAGACATAGAAAAAGTTTCTCCCTAATATTATCAAAGAAATAATAAAAAAATATTCAGGTGTGAAACAAAAATAGGAAGCTACAAGAAAAGGAACATTCAAAGAACAAAAAAGGTATCTGGATATTAAAAATCCTATACAAGGATCAAGGACTAAGAAAGGGAAACAAAAAAAGGAAGTGAGAAAATAAGAAAATTCAATGACTAAAATAGGAGGTCTAATATCTAACAGAGAAAACCAAGGGAAAGAAATACAAAAGAATATCCACAATAGTAACATTTCTAAGAACAGAAAGACAAGCACATCCCCAATTTTAAAAACAAACAAAACCATCAACTAAAGCACAATGAACGAGAAAAAGAAAATCCACACCAAAGCGTATCATTATAAAATTAGATTTACATCAAAAATAAAGAAAACATCCTAAAATATTCCATGGAAAGAAAGTAACAATAAAAGAATCCCAAAAAGCAGTATCACACTTCTCAACAGCAACAATATAAGCTATATATAATAATGGGGTTGTAGCTCAGAGATAGAGCACTGGTCTAGCAGGCGTGAGGCCCTCTGTTCAATCCTCAGCACCATATAAAAATGAAATAAAGGTATTGTGTCCACCTACAACTAAAAAGTAAAACATTTAAAAAAAAAAAAAAGAATGGAGGGGCTGGGGCTCAGTGGTAGAGTGCTCGTCTAGCACGCATGAGGCACTAGGTTGGATCCTCAGCACCACATAAAAATGAAATAAGGATATTGTGTCCACCTACAACTAAAAAATATTTAAAAAAAAAAAAAAAAGACTGGAGAGTGGGCTGAGGTTGTGGCTCAGTGGTAGAGTGCTTGCCTAGCCATGTGTGAGGCACTGCATTTAATTCTCAGCACGACATATAAATAAACAAATAAAATAAAGGTCCATCAATTAAATATATATATATATGTATGTGTATATACATTTATGTGTGTGTGTATATATTTTTTAAATGGAGAGTTTTAAGAAAAATGATTTTCAATACCAAATTCTATACCCTAATGGAACTTGAAATTATTTTTTTTACCAGGTATCCTTTTATTAAGAAGTTATAGGGTACACTCCTCTTTATTAAGGTGGGCATAAGTCAAGGAAGTGTGGATCTAATAAACTCCAATAAACAAGGCATGAAACTCAGAAGTGAGGTAAAGATATCTCCTAGAATCATGTCAAGGAAATCCTAAGATAAACTTCTGCATAGCAGAACTAAGAACAACCAGTTCAAGTTGCAGAAGAGTGAGGTCAAAAAATTGGAATTATAGGTTATCTCACAGGTCTTTCTGGAAAGCTAGACAAAAAACCTTTTATTATACAAATGGGAAAAATGGGAGACGGAGAAGTAATTAACTCTGGGAAAAATAAAAGGCTATAAAATACAGAGAACAGCATGATGGAAAAATACTTATAGATCCAGAATAAATAAAACACATATAGATTTATTGCAATCTACTCAATAGTTATATTGAAAAGATAAAAACTTAAAAAATATGGTAAAATGAGCTAAATTCTCATCTACCATAATAAATACATAATGTCTGCAACTAATAGAGAGAAAGCAGTATAGAGCCACTTTTAAATACATATAATGAAAATTTCAGAAGAATCAACTAATAATATTTGAAGGAACACAAAGCAACTACTTTTTGTTATAAGCAGTTTAACAGTGGTTAAATAGTTTAACTATATTAACACAGCTTTTTTGAAAACAAAACCAAAAAAATACATCAACCAATTACTATAATCAGTAACAAAAACACAATTCCAAAGAAAATAAGCAAATCATAAGTAACAGAGCTGTAGAAGTGTAGGGTACTTGTAGCTAAGTGGTAGGGTACTTGCCTTGCCAATACAAGGCCCTGAGTTCAACCAGAGCATCAATAACAAAGACTTAAAAAATATAAGATGATGATAAACTGAGATAAGCAATCTATACACAAATTACAGCAAGAGAAAAAACAAACAAAAAAGGTGATATGGCTATGGCTATGGGGAAAAGACTAATTTTATTCACAGTGAAAGTTCAAAACCAATACCATTTTTGAGGAACATTTGATAAAACTTAGCTGTATATTCCCTTTGACCGAGTTCCATTTCTAGCACACTCTATAAAAATAGTGATTTCTATAGAAGTGTTCACTACAGCACTGATTATTTCCTACAAATACAGTATTTGGACACCATAAAATATCTCTGTAATGTTTAAAATTATATGGTATAAAGAATTCTAAAACATTATGTTAAATAATAAACAAGTCAAAAGAAAATATGTAAAATACACATACAAATACATATGCAACATATACTCGAAAGCATGTACATCAAGCCATTAACCATGAGGAAAGTGGAATTGGAGACATAAGGGGATACAAAAATGGAGGAAGGCTTTATCATCTGCATTTTAAAAAATAGTCATAAATTCATTACATGTATCTATTAAGTAGTGGGAAAGAAGCACAAAAGTTAAACTTTTAAGTTAGCATTCATGAGCAGTATATCTTCAAATATCTTCAAATACAATTGAATACCAATGTCTCACATACCCTCTTATTGTACTGTTTGTCTCAGGATCACCAGGGTCCAAAGTTTCTTTTAAGAAGTTTATATAATGAATCCAAAGGTCAACACTAAGGGGTATTGCCTGAAGTCCCCGGCGATACACCTAAGAAGAAAACAATAAACTGTACTTCAAGTATTTAATTATTCCTTAACAGAGAGGCAACACTGTGTTATCCGGTGAACCTTAGAAATACTAATTACTGGAATTTTGTTTAAATAATCTACCATTACCATTTGGGTGGAGGTTGGATAGAACATGGCAATGTTCTGATCCCCACGTGCAGAGTCTTGATCTTCAAAGCGCAGCAGTCCCTGCATTCTGACCGGGTTGTGTGGGCAGGCTTTGGGTTACAGACCATAGGGCACAGACCCATTAGAGCATCAATGACAGCGTCTGACCAAAAATGCAATAAGACGTAGCAAATGTGACTAGTAAACCAACTATATTGTTTGGAAAATGAGAAATAAATGTAAGTGAGAGAAAAGCCCTGCCCTACTTGTTAAGCTGCAGTGTAATACAGAGGCTTGCACTGCAAAGCTTGACAAACTGTAGAGGTTTAACGCACCTGCCAACAAAGAGAGAAAATATTAGCTACAAATGCCACAAGAGTGACAAATGCAAATAAAATACCCTATAAAAATTGTTTGACCATAAATGGTAGGTACTGCCAGCCAAAAAAAAAAAAAAAAAAAAATTCTTTGTTTTTGTTATTAACTGGCTTACAGTACCTAATGGAATCAACTTTATTCAGTGATGTACGCACCTCATCTGATTGCTTAATGTTGTCATGTCGCTTTTCAAGATCTGCATACTTTTTCCAGTAACCATAGCAATACGGATAGTGTATGAAAAATTTGTCAAATGCTTTTCTGGCGGCCATCAAGTGATTCTGATGAAAATAAAAACAAGGCATTTAAATATCTTAGAAGTTTTTATCAAAAAGAAAAGAAACTAACTTTGTCAAATACTAAGGTAACTTTTTACTTTTTGTTTATTTATTTATTTACTTGTGACACTGGGGATTGAACCCAGGGCCTTGTGCATGCGAGACAAGCACTGTACCAACTGACCTATATCCCCAGCCCTTAGTTTTATATTTTGATGGTGCTATAGGATTGAACCCAAGGCCTCAAGCATTCTAGGCAAAAATTCTAACACTGAGATATATATATATATATATATATCCCCAGTCTCTTAAGGTAACTTTGTATTTCAATAATTTTACACACATATATAAAAACCCCAATCACTGTACAACATTAGGCTTTAACTATACTAACTCTCCTAATATACAAATATGCTTTAAGTTATTTTCAAAACAAAAATGTATGTATTTAATATTATTCAACTTAATCTGAAATTTTTGTGTGTGTGTGGTAATAGGCACTGAACCCAGGAACATTCTGCCTCTGAGCTACACCCCCAGTTATTTTTCATTCATTCATTCATTCATTCATTCAAGGCAGGGCCTGACTAAATTGCTGAGGCTGGCCTCAAACTTGTGATCATCTTGCCTCAGCCTTTTTAGTCACTTGGATTAAGGCATGTGCCAGATTAATCTGACCCTCAGATACCATTTTAATAATTACTAACCTCCTGTTCTACATATTGAAGCAAATATACCCAGCCTGTAAAATCCTGAGGATTATTTTCTACGGTTTTCCAAAATTTTTCATATTCTGGAGGGAAATTTGTTTCCGTTTCTGTCACTGTCACTGGAAGGTCAACAGCATTTGCCATTTCACTTTCTTCTGTAGACGCATTCACATTGGGAGAGCCGTCAGGTGACTGTTCCATTTCCGTAACATTCATAATCTCAGTATTGAAATCAGCAGGATGTTCTACCACTACCTCTGAACTGTTGTCTGTGCTGCCATTATTAGAATTTCTGTAATCATCCATGTGAGAATTTTGCATAGCTACGTATTTTGTCTTCAGTTAATAATCTGCAGAAACACACACACAAAAGAGAAACATCTTCCAAATGCTAATAAAATTACTTGGCATCAACATCACCTTTTAAAGCCCTATTTACGATTAAGGAAATGGAATAGTTTGAACTTGATCAAATTAATTTGATTATTTTGTCTGCAAATAATAGAAAACCTATCTACTGATGGCAGTTTAAACAAATATTTATTTTCTCACAAAACAGAAAGCTTAGCAGCTGGATGATGGTCAAATTCAAGGTAGGACATAAGTATAGATGAACTACATTGTTATAACTGTTCTTTTTAATCAGAAAATCAAAAGTTTTCCCAGAGATTTTTTTTTTCCAGTTTCACTATCCTTTATACAGGATTAGGTATATTGGTACCTTAAAGAAAATTAATGTTTATTTAGTAAGATAGACAGTGGTGAGACAAGATAATGGATAGGTAACAAAGTATCCACGAGATGACATGAACTGTTTTTGTCATTATCCTCTAAAATCCAATCTACGATTATAATGTGACCTAAAAGTTCCATTGTACAGTTTACCCATTGTAAGGATTCATCATTTAGAGAACTTGGTAGAAGTACAACTTTCTGGGCTATGCCATAGAATTGAAGCCAAGGAATCTATATTTGTTTTAAACACCTTCCTAGTTATCTTCATGGGAAATCAGACTTGAAAATTTTTGTACACTGTAGTGAAACCCAGATTTTTAAAGTAGTCATGAAATTGAAAAAAGAAAACAAAGTATACATACATGGGCGCGCGCGCGCACACACACACACACAAAGAAAAAATCCCTGAAGCCAACCATCCCATAGCTGGATTTTCTTTAAAATAACAAAATAAAGGTCTGAGGTTGTGGCTCAGCAGTAAAGTGCTAGCCTAGCATGTGCTAGGTGCTGGGTTCGATCCTCAGCATCACATAAAAATAAATAAACAAAATAAAGATATAGTGTTCAACTACAACTAAAAAAATTTTTTTTTAAATAAAATAACAAAATCAGCAGGACGTGGTGGCACATGCTTGTAATCCCAGCTGCTTGGGAGGCTGAGGCAAGAGGACCATTGAGTTCAAAGCCAGCTTCAGATAAGCAAGGTGCAGCTCAGTGAGACCCCATCTCTAAATAAAATACAAAATAGGGCTGTGGATGGGGCTTAGTGGCTGAGTGCCTATGAGTTTAATACTCAGTACCCCCCACCCCCCAAAAAATTGCAGACAAGCCAAAAGAACACACACAAAAAAAAAAACATCCAACTTTTGTAGGGAGAACAACTGTTAACACCAACTGTATTTTATTTATTTGGTGTAAATTCTTTTTTTTGGGGGGGTGCTGGAGATTGAACTCAAGAGCACGACCACTGAGTCACATTCTCAGCCCTATTTTGTATTTTATTTAGAGACAGGGTCTCACTGAGTTGCTTAGCATCTCACCACATTGAGGCCAGCTTTGAACTCACAATCCTCCTGCCTCACCCTCCAGAGCTCCTGGGATTACAGGCATGCGCCACCAGGCTCAGTTTTTGGTGTAAATTCTGACAGATTGGTGTGCACATATATACAGTGTGTTTATTATGATATCATCAACACAGATATTAGACTACCAGAAAAATAAATTCTCTTCTTGGATGAGTCTGATGAATGTCATCAACTTTTCCAAAGTTAAGACCACTTTAGGTCCTATGAAAGGACAAACAAATTTCTAAATTTATTTTGCTCTTTTCTCTCTCCTTTAAAAAAAAGCACATTTGGGGCTGGGGATGTGGCTCAAGCAGTAGCGCGCTCGCCTGGCATGAGTGCGGCCTGGGTTCGATCCTTAGCACCACATACAAACAAAGCTGTTGTGTCTGCCGAAAACTAAAAAATAAATATTAAAAAATTCTGTCTCTCTCTCTCTTTAAAAAAAAAAAAAAAAAAAAGCACATTTGAAGATTAATTTTTCATATGCAAATTACTAACTTGTGGGTTTTTAAAAATTTTATAGTTCAGTTTAAGAAAGAAAAAAAAAAAGACTGCTGGTTGATGCATTATTTGGGGGAGGAATGTAGTACTGAGGATTACACCCAGGGGCCCCATAACACTGAGCTACATCCTAGCCCTTTCTATTTTGAGACAGGGTCTCATTAAATTTCCTAAAGTGACCTGGGAAATTACAATCCTCCTGCCTCAGCCCCCAAATAGCTGAGATTACAGGGACGTGCCACCCGCACCTGCCAGTTGACAAATTCTGAGTCATTTACTACCTACCCTATTCTAATTGCATATTTATGTGGGACATATGGGGTTTGTTATTTTCTTTGAATCAGCAAATTTACCACACCCTTGCATCATGAGAGACTCCATACACTGTCAATTACTCCATACACTACAATTACTTGTTGTAAAAGAATTAAGAACATCAGCCTTACCCTTAGGGAATTCATTTTGATGATTACTTCATAAACCACAGAGCCAAAAGAAAATATACTTATTTTTAAAGTTATTCCAAGTCAATCATTAGTACTAGTTTATTCTTAACAAAGAATGGGGAAAAGAAGAGTTATTGTTTAATGGGTATAAAGTTTCAGATTTACAAGATTAGAAACTTCCTGAGATGTTTCCCAATCATGCAAATATACTTGGCAATACTAACTGTACACTTAAAAATGGTAAACATTATCGGGGCTGGGGATGTGGCTCAAGTGGTAGCGCGCTTGCCTGGCATGCGTGTGGCCCGGGTTCGATCCTCAGCACCACATACAAACAAAGATGTTGTGTCTGCCGAAAACTAAAAAATAAATATTAAAAAGTTAAAAAAAAAATGGTAAACATTATCAATTTGAATTTAACTCTCCCATGCCTTTGGCATGTAACAAATTGTCCTTTTTCCTGATTTGAGGGGGGAAAAATGTAAAATTTTGTTATGTAATTTTACCAAAATTACAGAAAGTAAAACATTATACAGTATAACCAAATTAGGAAATATAATGTGCAAAAAGGAGCTAAATTTTTCTACCATTTGTTAAATATTTAAATAAGCAAGAGGTCAATGACCTGAAGCTGTCTCAGTACTTTTTTTGGGGGGAGGGGTTACCCAAGATTGAATTCTGGGGCACTTGACCACTGAACTACATCCCCAGCCCTATTTTGTATTTTACTTAGAGACAGGGTCTCACTGAGTTGCTTAGCGCCTCACTTTTTGTTGAGGCTAGCTTTGAACTTACATTCCAATTTCTGCCTCAGCCTCCTGAGCCACTGGGATTACAGGAGTGGGCCACTGCACCCAGCCTTTCTCAGTATTTTGAGTTCCTATATAATAAACTGCAACCTAACTTCAGCATATAAACAAATGGAAACCTTAGAAGCCTAATTCTTTTTAACAGAGAGCTGGATCACAGCCAATCATAAGCAGCAGAGCTTCTGCCAATCACAGGCAGCCAACTAATCAGACTATATCCAAATAAGGCAACTACCTAGCTATAATCAATCAAGCTATTTCTGTGATTACTTTTATGTTCTGTCTATAAATACTTACTGCCCACTGATGCAGACTAGATGCTGTGAACTTCTAATCATGAATTGTTCTTTCCTCAAAACACTGCTAAATTTGTCAAAAGTTTTTCTTTTAATACATCATAAGTAGTACAGCACGGGTTCCAAATAAAAAGTACAGAATGATAAATATCAGTTAGAGACCAGGGCATGATCTCCTGCATTCCCAGCTACTCAAGAGGCTGAGAGAAGTGGATCACAAGTTTGAAGCCAGCCTCAGAAACTTAGCAAGACCCTCAGCAAATTAGGGAGACACTGTCTCAAGTAAGAAAGTAAAAATGACTGGAGATGTAGGTCAGTAATAAAGCATTCCTGGTACCAAAAATTCCAGTACCTCAAAAATGAAATTGTGTATGTGTGTACACACATATGTATACATAAGAAAAGAGGGAAGTAAAGTGAATTCTACCTCTCTCCCTTAATACTGTGTGATCCTAGGTCAGTTTTTGCTTCTCACTTCTAAAGGAAACTAATAAGACTTACATTACCTGCCTCAGAGATAGGTTAAGAACATCAGATAAAATAAAAACATGAAATTCTTAAAAACTATAAATTCACAAAAATGAAAGCATAATAGTAAAACACTGAATTCCTTGGGAAGTGATATACCAACAAGAATTTATATTTTAAAATAAATTTAAAAAAATAAAAATTACCTTCACAGTGCACTTAATTTTTTTGCATTAGAAATTTTAATAGGAAAAAATGCTACCAATTTTGAAACTGGTAGTGAGTATAGAATTTATCTGGAGGCATATCTTATTTCCTAATTTGGGGGGGAACATACATTTCCCTCTCATGATCCTAATATAATCATATCAATTGGGGTTAAATCCATATTCAGTTTTACATTAGTGTGTTTCTGTAAATATTTTTAAGCTAAACTACCCTGTATACTATAATTATGCTTTCTTGCTTCTAACCCTTTAAATCTTATTATTTTCATTTACCTTCTTGTGTTTCAAAATTGAAACCATATCCTACTAGAACTCTTATAAAAAGTCCTTCAAAAAACAATGTCATGCATATTTATCAATTCCACTTTTCCTTTGGAGAACATCTAAGGTTCCACAGCAAATTCTATTGATTCTTCTTGTCTAGGTTTGTCTATTCCTTTTGATCTAACATAGTCCTTTTACTTATTCCCTGGGGGATGAATCCTATCTATAACCGCCAAAATCTTTCTTTCTTCATTTATTCTCTTTCATTTTTTATGTTGTATATTAATATACAGAATGATGGGTTTCGTTGTGGCAGATCCATACATACATAAAAACATAATCCGATCAACTTCACTACCAAATACCCACACTATGCCCTCCTTCTCCCTCTGATCCCTTCCTTTTCCCTAATGGTCTCCATTTTCTGCTGAGTCCTTATTTTTTCACTCTGGCTTCCCCATAACAGAAAACTAATGATACTTTTCTCCTGCATCTGACTTATTTTACTCAAGATCATGGTCTGCTGTTCCATCCACT